CGATCACAATTAGGCGTGACTTCGACTCTGCAACGCTGGATGGGTACGACTTCATCTTCGGTAGGGATTGGCTGCGAACGGTTTCGACTCAGTTCGATTGGGCTCAGGGAAGCTGCAGCGTCAAGGTAGACGGGGAGTTCCGGGAGCTGCCACAGTGGAGCGATGGGGCCACATCATCCACAGCTATCATCAATGTTGTTCGTGTGCGGCAGCTAGTGAAGCGTGCAGCATAGATCTTCGCGGTTTTCCTTGAGGAGGTGGAAGCTGAGGAGGGGAAAGGAGGGAGCGCAGCAGTAGGTGAGAAGGCGACTCTTCCTGCTGAGGTGAGTGCACTGTTAGCAGAGTTCGCAGACGTCTTCCCCGACGAGTTGCCCCCAGGGTTACCTCCTAGCCGAGCAGTCGACCATCGAATAGAGTTGGAGCCGGGGAGCAGGCCAGTAGCGAAGCCGCAGTGGAGGTTGAGTCCAGCAGAGATAGAAGAGATGACGCAGCAGGTTAGGCACTTTCTCGCACAGGGGTTCATACAGCCATCTAGATCGCCTAAGGCCGCTCCGATCCTTTTCGCGCCTAAGAAAGACGGAGGGTTACGGATGTGCATAGACTACCGCGCACTGAACGCCGCCACCGTCAAGAACAGATTCCCGGTGCCGAGAGTAGAGGATCTTCTAGATGCAGTGCAGGGCGCTAGAGTCTTTTCTAAGATCGACCTTCGTTCGGGTTACCACCATATTCGTGTAGTTTAAGAGGACCAGCACAAGACGGCGTTTTGTACAAAGCAGGGGTTGTGTGAGTTTTGGGTTCTACCGTTCGGACTGACCAACGCCCCAGCGACGTTCCAGACGCTTATGAACACCGTCCTCTCCGAGTTCCTAGGTTCGTTCGTTGTCGTTTACCTAGACGATATTCTCATCTTTTCCAAGTCGAAAGAGGAGCACGTGCAGCACTTGCAGAAGGTCTTTGAGGTCTTGCGGAGGGAGAAGCTGTACGCGAAGCAGTCAAAGTGCGAGTTCTTCCTCCCTGAGGTCGAGTTTCTAGGTCACGTCGTTTCCGCTAGTGGCGTTAGGACCGACCCGAAGAAGATCGCAGCGGTACAGGATTGGGTAGCACCGACCTCAGTCAAGGAGTTGCAGAGCTTTCTCGGATTCGCGAATTACTACCGCCGTTTCGTTCAGGGTTACGCTTCCATCGCTAGTCCACTCACCGACCTACTTCGGAAAGGCGTAGAGTACGTTTGGGGTCCAGCGCAGCAGCAGGCGTTCGAGCAGATGAAGCAGTCGCTCACGTCTTCACCGACACTGTCGTACCCTGATCCCACTCGCCCGTACGTTGTAGTGACCGACGCTTCAGATCAGGCCATAGGTGCAGTGCTTCTTCAGGACCAGGGCCGCGGGTTGCAGCCGATCACGTACATGCGAGTCGCGTAAGCTGAGGGGAGCGGAGTTGAACTATCCCATACACGACAAGGAGGCGCTCGCGATCATCCATGCGTATAAGGTATGGAGGTGCTACCTAGAGGGGGCAGATAGTGTTATACGCACGGACCACTGCTCGCTTCGTTTCCTCAAGTCGCAGCCGCAGCTGAGTCGTCGCCAGGCTAGATGGATGGAGTTCATGGAGGGGAGTTTCCACTACAGGATAGAGTACAAGCCCGACGTTCGCAACCCAGCAGATCCGCTCACTCGCCCTAGTTGTCAGCTCGCTAGTCTCACAGTCACTACCGGCCATCCACTTATGACAGCACTCTTCGAGCACGGTTACACTGTAGATCCCGACTTCACACCGCAGCCGCCCGCAGGAGCAGAGGTGCAGGGTAGTGTTTACATACGGAAGGGCACCACACGGATTTGGGTTCCAGCCTACCGCCCTCTTCGACAGCTCCTTCTCTCAGAGGCGCACGACGTAGTTAGTGCAGGTCACTTTGGAGCAGACAAGACGGCTAAGACGCTTAGTCGCACGTACTACTGGCCAGGGCTTGCAGCAGACGTAGAGGATTACATTCGCTCGTGCGACACGTGTCAGTGTACGAAGTCCTCTCGCCAGCACAAAGCAGGACTTATGCAGCCGATTCCACCGCCCGATCGCCCCTGGCAGGTAGTTACGATGGACTTCATCATGGCATTACCGCGCACAGTTAGGGGTCACGATGCCATCTTCGTGGTAGTGGATAAGTTTTCTCGAGCAGCGCACTTCATCCCCACGCACGGCCAGGTCACAGCAGAGGAAGCCGCGACGCTGTTCGTAGATAACGTAGTCCGACTGCACGGGGTTCTTGATTCCATCATCTCAGACCGCGACCCTAGATTCACATCGAAGGCTTAGCCATGTCGTCTGCGTACCATCCAGAGACAGACGGACAGATTGAGCGTGTGAACCAGACCTTGGAGCAGATCCTTCGCAGCATCACGATGCACGACGCAGCAGCATGGGACAAGAAGCTGAGCATGGCAGAGTTCGCATACAACAACACGCACCACTCCGCCACAGGCATGTCACCGTTCTTCGCACTGTACGGTCAGCACCCCAATGTCCCCACTCGTGTCGATCTCACACCCATTGTCCGTGCGGACAACTTCCACCAGCATCTCACCTTCATTCACGACCACGTGAGGAAGCACCTTGAGCTTGCAAATGCACGCATGGCACGCACCACCAACCGCAGTCGTCGTGAGGTGTCGTTTTCTGTTGGGGACCATGTCCTTTTAGACAGCCGCAACCTCCGACTGCCACAGGACAGCAAGCTTCGCCCACGCTTCATTGGTCCATTTGTCATTGAGCGTGCACTTGGTCCAGTCGCATACCGCCTCCGCCTTCCCGCTCATTTCCGCATGCACCCGTCATTTTACGTGTCTCTCCTTCGTCCATACACCGATCCCAACACCACCTTCTCGGGCCCTGATCGTACTCCACTGCCGGTAGCTGTTGACACCGACGAGCCCGACTACCAGATCCAGCGCATCCTCAGGCACCGTCGCCGTCTCCAGGGGGGTGTCTCTTTCATCGACTTATTTGTTCGTTGGCGTGGTTACGATGCAGCCGACGACAGCTGGGTTCCTTCGTCCTCGCTGTCTCCCGACAACGCTTGCCTCCAAGCGTACCTTCAGTCTGCAGGCGCCGCGGACGTCGCCTCCTTGGGAGGGGGGTAGTGTTAAAGGGGGATTTACTGTTCCCTTTGAACAGTACTTTCCCAACCCATCCAACTCATCCCTATCGTCTTGGATTTCCTAGTGCCACGTGGCACTCTACTTTTCTAGCTCTACAATTCCTAGTCCCACATTCTACTTTCGAACTTTCTTTCTTGCATGCTATATAAACCTTGCTTGTATTCCCTCATATCAACCAATTCTCATTCAACTCTTCTTCAATTACTCAGTAACTTCTTCGCCTATTTCGCCAATAGTTCTTTCGCCAAAGTCTTCCGCCGCGCTTCATCCTCGACTTAGTCGACTCCGCTAATTCTTTAGATGACTTAGGCCAGCGGGCCTAACAGTCTGTTTAGTGTCAATACTTGTCTTCCCCGTAATGAGCTTCTTGTGTAACCACTCCGTTCTGCTGGTGGGTGTCGTCGCTGAAAGATACGTATCTTGGCGTTGTTCTGTAGGCGTTAAATTTCGAGAATCTGGGTCCGCAGAATCTTCGCTGATATGTGGGTTTCTGCCTATCAAGGTTTGGTGAGAAGCGAAGTCCTGCCAAACCTGTTCGCGCCAAATTTAACGCCTCTGCCTGCAGAACAACACTTTAGGGGCGCAAAATTTTAAACGTTTGCTGGTTCGAAGATGTTGCTTCACCGGGAAAATGGACGCACAACTAGTGCGGTGCTGATTCTACCTCGGGAGCTAGCATCAGCCTCCGCACAAGTTATGCGGGGCAGCAACATCCGCGCAACGCAACCAGCATGAATGCGCCTGGAAAATACACGGAAGGCTAACGCGGTCAAATTGGTGCGGAACCCTAAATGCCTGCAGAACAACGCCCTTGAGCCGCGTGTGCTGTGGCTGAACTGGAAATTCGAAGAGGAATTTCCAGAGTCGTTCGTTTGTTCTCCTATGGTTGGTTAGGCAAGCTGGCAGCCGTTGATAACGACACGCTGGTGACTCGGCTCATCCCGGAACCAGTGCGGAAGGGGAAAACCCTGAAGAAGCCTGTGGTCCGTAGATCACAGAGCGAAAGGTGTTTAGGGGAACTCTGAACATCAGCCATCAGGGAGTTCCAGAAATCATGCGCATGCTTTCTTCTTCAATGCGTGGACGGTGTGGGTGTCTTGTCACGACCACAGGTCATGAATAAAAAAATCAGAAGATTCCAAATTGTGGTGGTGAAGTTTGAGGCGTTTGAATTGAACGACAAACTAGTGCGACAATCGACCATATTGTTGTGGGTGTGACCCCTGCGACACCAGGACTTCATGCCTACCCTACCGAACCGCCGCTACTGCCCCTGGCGGTCGCCTTTGAATTGGATCACAGTTCTCATGTTTCCACGTGGGTGCCCGTCCCCAAACCCATAGATCAAAGCGTTTCGAAGATATGCAGACAGCGAGCGTTAAACCTTCCACTCTGATTGGTCATTCGGCCTCCTCAATTGACCACATCAGCGCACAAACCAGCAGCAAGTGAGACACCTTTGCATTGGCTTCGCCTTTCTGCTTTTCATTGGTTCTGCTTTTCGGGCACCTCAATACAGTATTCCTGACCTCCAACAAGGGACACTTCTCCTTAGTCCCCTATGCATTCAGAAAGCTGGGGGCGTGGAGACCTTGAGACCAACTGGAGAAGCGAAATGTGGGGAGCAACTGGAAACCACAGCTTCAGACCATGGCCTCACTTATCCAGTTTGGTCTTCCTCGACACACAGTTCATGAATGCGCAAAAATCTGCGACTACGCCTTCCACTGCGCCGTACTGTACGCTGATCGATGCTCCCTAATACCGACACAATTTAGCTCGTCCGTTTCTAATGACAGCAACCGCAAAAGTATCTTTGTTTTTTCCTCCAGAATACGAATGATGCAATGTGTCTCGGGCGCTTCATTCTGTAGCCAGCAATAACCCCTACGTGAAAACATAGCGAAAAAGTCTAGACGTAGCCTAACTATCCTCCGATCCCGATGGACATGGCGAAAAAGTGGGTCAAGTTAGGCGGAAGAGGTCGGTCCCGCAGACAGTCCAGCCGCAGCTGTGGCGACGAAGTTACCTGCTTTTCCCTTTGCGCTCCCCGCGGCTGCCGGGCCGACAGCCTCCCCAAAATTTACTTCCGTGAAGCTCCCATTGACTTTCCAGCTGCAGTCGCCTCCGATTCCTTCGCTGCAGGCGAAGTCGACGCGGTCAAACATGCGTCCGACGTGGCGTTATCTTCTCCTAACTCCCACCCGCTTGGCCCAAGCAGCAGTTCTTCCGCCGACTTATCCTCGTTCGACCTGCCCAATCTCGAGTCAGCAGAGCCTTCTCCAGCGGTCGAGCCAGCTGCGGGCAGGCGCTGCTCGCCTGACGGAACGCAAACTTGCTCAGGAAGATCGATAACGGGCGACGATGTCGAATTCGGCTCGCGTCGCGCCAAAACCGCGCCGCTCGACGCCCATTCCGCGCATTCTCGAAGGTTTGGGTCTCGGCGCTCGCTCACAGGCCAGCGGGGAAGCGAGTGGATCGGCGACGGCACTGTTACTGAAACCATCATCCCTGAGCAGCGTGCGCTCAAGCTTGCGCCAGCAGCGGAGCCCTGTTCCCCGGCGGCTGCCGCGGATCGTCCTGCGCCGACCGTCTCCGTGGGACTGAGTCGCTTGATGGCGGACTTATACGGCGGGGAGGAGGACGACTCAGTGGCGGAGGGAGATCTCTACGGCGCCGCGGTTCTCCCCGCTTCTTCGAGCAAGAGTGCTGGTCGCGCAAGCATCAGCGGCGGAACCGGCAGTGTCGGCGGAAGCAGCAGGAGGAGCGCGGGGGAAGGAGCTGGGGGGGACGACTATATTTCATACCCGGAAGATCTATATGCCGTGGCGTTTCGATCTGGACCGCTGCCGCCGAGCCAGTCGCCGGCCGCTTCCTCTCGCGGCTTCGGCGGCGGAGGCGGCGGCGGAGGTGGCTGCGCCCCTGCTAGGTCCCCCCTGTCGCGGAACGCCACGATGCACATGGTTCCGAAGCAACGATCGCGGCGGACGTTTTCCCAGCCGTCGGGATTCCCGGGTTTCCATCAGGATCTGGTGGAAAGCAGCAGCGCGATCGGCGGAGGCGGTTTCTCTCGACGCTCGTCGACGCAGCCGAAGCTTCGTGCGCCATATCCAGATTTAGCGTTCGCGAGTGATGTCAGAGCGGGCGGCGGACAGGCTTATCCAGAAGCATCTATTCCTGAAGCGTCTACGCCAGAGAGTCTTTGCCGGGGAGGGTCAATTCGTACCCCCAGTGGGGGTTCTCATCGAAAAGGATCTTTCCGGGGTCGGCCGAGCGAGGATCTGGCGAGCCGTTGGACGGACGATTTGACGGGCATTTGGAACGACAGCAGCTTTAGAGGCCAGGGAGGGCTGAGGCGGCGTGGAAGCGCAAGCGGCGGGGAATCTGGGGGCGGCGTAAGGACACCGGCGGAAGGTCATCGGAGAATTCCGAGCGGAACCAGTTACGATGGGCGTGAGGCGGGAGAGATTGACGACGGTTGGAACGGTGGTGGTTCAAGGGAGGGGTTCGGCGCGTGTGCGGTAACGCCAAAAGGTGGCCGTGTCGCGCGCAGGGCCAACGCGAGTCCTCTCACGAGCCCCCACCCCGGCGCGTCGCACGCGAGTCCGCTCGTGTCTCCGCACGCGGGCGTTGACCGCGTTGACTTGTTCCAGCACTACCAGCACAACCGGAACCCTAGAGGTTGGACCAGCCCGCACATTTCGGCGCTTTCGGGTTCGCATTCGGGCTCGCTTGCCCCCACCCTAAACCCGGTGGTGGCAGGGGCAGCGCAAACAGATCAAGCGCGCCGCCGCAGCATCGAGGTGCGAGATCGCAGTGAAATCTCGCGACCGGCGAATGAGAGCTGCAGCAGAGATTGTGGGCGGGAAACTGGTGGCGCGAGGAGTGGGAAACTGGAACCGACATATGCACTGGGCGGGTCACTGAGTGGTCGTTTGGGCGGGTCGTCGGAACAGAAGCATCGACGACAGCACTCAGCGAGCAGCAGCATCAGCAGCCGGGCTTTTCCGTCCGCTTTAGAGCATGGCTCATCACCTAGTGTAACGTTTGTTTCTTCTCTTCAGAGGCATATAGCGTCAGTGGCTGAAGCTGAGAGGTTGGATCAGCTTGCCTCAACTTAAGACACAGTGATATGCTGCGCAGAATGACTGGGTTGCTGCGACAGTGAAACTGGCATAGTAATCCAAACGCCGGCATCTGCAAATCACCCTGTCGTGCCCAGTCCGTCGCCGCAAAGGTTCAAGGATTTCCAAAGGGTTCCGTCCATTGCTTCGGGCCAACGGAACTGTTGCTAGGCTCTGCGTTGCAAGCGCCCTCTTCCCAAGTCAGCCTGCTTTCAAACTTGAAAGGAGGACTCTACCTGGTAGAGAGAAGGAAGTGGAGGGTGGAAGGTTGAAGTGCGTTGGGGAAGGGGGGATACTGCAGACCTAGTCATCCCTCACGCTCTGGCAGAGGTATGCAAAGCCTGCAATTATCTCTTGGGATGCACTCCATGTTCTGTGATGGGATTGGGTCGAGTCGAGACTCGAGATGGAATGCAGGGCAATGGCTCATCTCCATAAGTCACACTGCACTGGAGATGAGGAGGGCATGACCTAGTAGGCAGAATATGGAAGTTTGGAGCACTGGTGGTGAGGGTGAATATAGGGAACCAGGTTACTCCATTCTTTAGCTGCTGATTATTTGAAAAAAAAAAAAAATGAAATGCTCCTGTTTTCCCATAGTAGGATGTAGACGCAAGTCTATGTTTATGATGTTCAGGTCTGTGTAGCATGGTGTAACATGTGGAAGTCCGTGATTCCATTAGTATTAGATTTTTTTCCTATCAACGTTTCTTTTTATCGACATCCCGGTCTGATTTTGGTACTTTGCTACCATACACGTATTCCTAAAACCTTACATCTGTTCAGTATACCATTTCCTCTAAATCAAGAAGGGAGTTCCGGTCCAGGCCCCGTGCTAGGATTTGGGGCACCCTGAGGCCTCAGGGCACCTTTACAGAATCTTAAAAAATGCCCTGATTTGTCAGGGCAAAATTTTTCAGCCTTCCTGTAGTTTCAGGGCTTCTGCCGAAATTAATCCTGACCTGTCAGGGGAAAAAAAACGAGTGTTCAGGGTTTTGGTTCAATCCAAGCACTGGAAACCTCCCAAAGCCGCTCGACTCCCGACTGATTGTTAAATTATAATGTGTTGGTAGGCTGTAGTGGGGTAGACAATATAGGGTACAACCCCATTAGGGTTAGGTACTTGTACTCTTGTTCTCCTTTCAATGCATTCATTCTTGCCTAGAATCTTGATATGGTTTCAGAGCAAGAGGTCCCTAGGACCTACCGATATTTTTTTAGGGCCCACCGTCGCACGCATGCGGTTACCACGCTACCCCGCGCCCTACCCTCGATGCGCCCTCGTTGCGCCCTAGCTGCGCCCTCGTGCGCCCTCGTTAGCGCCCTCGCGCGCCCTCGTTAGCGCCCTCGCGCGCCCTCGCTGCGCCCTCGCGCGCCCCTCGTTAGCGCCCTCACGCGCCCCAGTTAGCGCCCTCGTGCGCCCCTCGTTAGCGCCCTCGCGCACCCTAGCTGCCCGCCCTTCGCGCTGCCCGCTCGCCGCGCTGCCCGCCCGTCGCGCTGCCCGCCGCGCTGCCCGCCGTCGCGCTGCCTGCCGCGTCGACCGCCCGCCAGTCGCGCAGCCCGCTGCGCTGCCCGCTCGCCGTGCTGCCCGCCCGGCTGCCCGCCAGTCGCGCTGCCGCCCGTAGCCCTACCCGCCCGCCGCCAGCCCTGCTGCTGCCGCGGCCGCCCCTTCTCCCCTACGCACGCAGCCACGCGGCCCCACGCACCCGCGTGCGCCGCCCGCCTCGCCTGCTGCTCCCTGCCCGTGCACCGCCGCCTGCTCCTGCTGTGGCTACTAGCTTCGCTCTAGCGCGTCCCCTCTGCTGCTGCCGCTGCTCTGCTGTGCCCTCACGCCTGAGCTATGGCCTCTATTCGCGTTCTTTCCTTCGATGCTGAGGGCCGTCCCGTGCAGTTCACTTCCTGGCTCGACGACCTGCAGTTGTATCTTATGAGCAATAGCACGGACCACGTCTCCCTCTATGACTACGCGTTTGGTGATGCCGCTGCTCCTGCTGCCACAGCCGAGCTTAGTGTACGTTCCCAGTGGCAGACTCGTGACGCTGCAGCTCGCCTGGCTATTCGCAGTCACCTGCCGTTCGCTGAGCTAGAGCACTTTGGCGACTGCAAAACCGCTAAGGCCCTGTACGACGCTGTCGTCGCTCGCTACTCCTCACCTGCCACAGCCGAGCTTAGCCGCCTCATGCTGCCTTACCTGTTCCCTGAGCTGTCCACCTTTGCTACAGTCGCCGATCTCATCACCCACCTTCGCACTAGTGACGCTCGCCTGCGTGCCGCCCTTCCCACCGAGTTCTGCGCTAAGAACCCCCCTCCACTGTACTGGACGCTCCATTTCATAGTCACCCGTCTCCCTGACACCCTCAGCTCAGTCCGAGACTACTTCCTTGCCCGCTGTCCCACTGAGCTCACAGTCGCCCTCCTAGAGGAGAAGCTGCTAGCAGCCGAGAAGAGCATTGTAGCTGTAGGTGCTGCTCGTGGCGCTCCTCGCACCCCCATCTTTGAGGGGTGTTCTCCCTCTCCCCTCGCTCCCTCCTACGCTACTGCTGCTGCTGTTGACCTCCTTGGTGCTGAGTCTGCTGGCGCTGCTTCTGCTCCTGGTGGGAGGCGCCGCACCGGCAAGGGCAAGGGGGACAAGGGTGGCGGGGGTGGCGTTGGGGGGGGAGGTGGTGGGGGAGGTGGGGGAGGAGGAGGTGCCGGAGGGAGCGGTGGCGGGAGTGCTCGTGGGAGTGGAGGCAGCGGTGGGGGCGGGGGCGGTGGCGGGAGTGGTGGCAGTGGTGGCGGCGGTGGCAGCGGCGCTGGCAGTGGTGGCGGTGGCGGCGGCGGCGGTGGCGGTCGGAGCGGCGGTAGTGGCGGCGGTGGTGGTCGGAGTGTAGGCCCCAGCTCGGGCCAGACCTCTCAGCAGCAGCAGCGTCCTCAGACGACCCAGCAGCTCCGTGAGTGGCTTGCTCAGCGTGGGACGTCGGGAGGCAGTGGTCGCTGTTCCTATGTCATTCGCACAGGTGAACGCAAGGGGCAGAAGTGTGGGAGGTTCCACACCCAGTACCGCTGCTTCTCCCGCCTTGACGACGCCTGGCGTGAGGAGATGGGCGAGGAGGTTGAGCGCCCCCGCTGGGCTGATCTGATGAGGGCTGGTGTTGATATCTTTGCTCTTGATTATGATGCTATTATTGCTACCATGTATGCATTGACTGTTAGTGCTGAGGGGGACTGTTACTTGTGTGTGCCGCCTGACCCAGGTATAGAGCCCACTGCCCTAGGTACCAGCGAGTCTGCTCTCTCAGGTACTGTGCCTTCCGAGGCTACTCCCTTCGGTACACCCCCTCCTGCTAGCGAGTCTGCGCTCTCCGGTACTGCGCCCGCTGAGGCCTTGCACACCTTCACGCTTGACTCAGGTGCTTCCCGCTGCTTCTTTCGTGACAGTACTGAGCTCACTCCCCTCCCTGCACCAGTTCCAGTCTCCCTGGCTGACCCCTCCGGGGGTCCAGTTCTTGCACGGTCTACCACTGTGCTTCCCTGTCCGGCGGTTCCGTCTGGCTCGCTGTCGGGTCTCTACCTCCCCTCGTTCTCTACGAACTTGGTGAGCAACGCTGTTATCCAGGATCACTGGGTTGACACCTTCACCCCTGGAGGACAGCGTGTGGCGATCCTCACGTGCTCCAGGACTGGCCGTCACCTGGCTACGTTCACTCGTCAGCCGGGGTCGAGTCTCTACACACTGACCACTGTGTCTCCTCAGGTCGCTGCTGTTGGTCAGGTGTCTGCGTCAGGTCTAGTAGCCCACCCCTGTGAGTGTCGCTCCCTGTCGCACCAGACCCTTCTCTGGCACCACCGCCTGGGTCACCCCTCCTTGCCGCGCCTTCGTGGCATGCACCGTCGTCACCTTGTGTCCGGTCTTCCCCGGTCTCTCCCTCCCCTCCCTGCCTCGCCTGCGCCGCCTTGCCTTCCTTGCGTCGAGGGGCGGCAGCGCGCCGCTCCTCACTCCTCCTCGTTTCCCCCGACCGAGGCTCCTCTGCAGACCCTCCACTTGGACGTGTGGGGCCCAGCCCGCGTCTGTGGACAGGGCGGTGAGCGGTACTTTCTGCTGGTTGTCGACGACTACTCGCGTTACACCACGGTCTTTCCCTTGCGCACCAAGGGTGAGGTCCCTACTGTTCTGATCCCTTGGATCCGCACAGTTCGTCTCCAGCTCCGCCGCCGGTTCAGGACAGAGCTTCCTGTCCTGCATCTGCACTCTGACAGAGGTGGTGAGTTCTCCTCTGACCTCTTGAGGGCCTTCTGTCAGGCGGAGGGCATCGAGCAGTCCTTCACGCTTCCGGACTCCCCGCAGCAGAATGGGGTTGCAGAGCGCCGCATTGGCCTTGTCATGGAGGTCGCTCGTACCTCCTTGGTCCATGCGGTGGCTCCCCATTTTCTGTGGCCGTTTGCTGTCCGATACGCTGCGCATTAGCTCAACCTCTGGCCCCGTGTCTCCTTGCCGGAGACCTCGCCCACACTGCGTTGGACGGGGGAGGTCGGCGATGCGTCGCGCTTCCGGGTGTGGGGTTCTCGTGCCCTTGTCCGCGATACTTCCGCGGACAAGCTCTCCTCCCGCACACTTCCCTATGTCTTCCTTGGCTTTGTCCCTGACGCGCCTGGCTAGCAGTTTTACCACCCCACCTCGCGCCGGGTCTTCGCCTCTCAGGACGTCACCTTTGACGAGTCGGTTCCTTTTTACCGTCTCTTCCCCTACCGCACTGCCCCCCCCCCCCCCCCCGCCGCTTTTCCTTGCTCCAGGTCCCCCCCCGGTCGACCCCCTTCCCCCTCAGGGTCCTGCTCCTTCAGGTGTCTCTCAGGTAGACCCTCCTCCCGTCGCTGAGCCTGTCGAGGTCACAGGTGACTCAGGTGCTGCTGCGGGTGGTGCTGCTAGGGTTGCTGAGCCTGGGGGTGCTGAGCGTGGGGGTGCTGAGCCTGGGGGTGCTGAGCCTGGGGGTGCAGAGCCTGGGGGTGCTGAGCCTGAGGGTGCGGAGCCTGGGGGTGCTGGGACCGTGGGTGCGGGGCCTGGGGGTGCTGTGCCTCGAGTTGCTGCGTCTGGGGGTGCTCAGGGTGTTGAGTCGCCTCTCCGGGAGCCTCTCACACAGCGGCAGCTCCGTGAGTGGTACGTCCGGCGCTTTCGCCTTCCGCGTGGTGCAGCTGGAGCTGGAGGCGCTGAGACTGGGGACACTGGTGCTGGAGGTTCTGGCGGTGCTGCAGCTGCTGGTTCTGGGGGTGCTAGTCCTGGAGGTACTGCGGCTGCCGGAGCTGGTTGTTCTGGAGGTCCTGAGCCTGGTGCCACTGGAGCTGGAGACACTGGAGCTGGAGGTACTGGAGGAGCTGGAGCTGCTCGTTGTCGCGGTGCTCCGTCTGAGGGAGCTGAGCCTGTGCTTGAGGGGTCTGGGTGTGCTGCGTCTGGGGGTGCTGAGTCTGGGGGTGCGTCGCCAGTGGAGGCTGCGCCCTGGACTGGCCGCCTTCGTTCGCGTGTTCCTCTCACCTCCCAGCAGCTGCACGACTGGTTCGGTCGCCGTCAGCGTCGCCCTCCTGGAGCTCCGGGCTCTACTGCTGGTGGTGCCTCTACTGCCGCCCCTGGAGCTGAGAGTGGTGCTGGTTCGTTGTCTCCTGGAGGTACTCCCGTCGCTGGTCCCGGAGGTGCTCGTACCGCTGGTACTCGAGCTGCTGGGGCTGGTGGTGCTGTGTCTGAGGGTGCTGCCGCTGGGGACGCTGCGACTGGAGACCCTGGGACTGGTGGTGCTGGTTCTGGGGGTGCTGCTGCTAGTGGGGACAGTCCTGGAGGAGCTGACACTGGGGGTGGTGGTGTCGCTGGAGGTGCTGGAGCTGCTGGTGCTGGCGGTACTGTACAGTCGCGCCTGTTCTTCGCTCCGCCGTCTCCATCGTCTCTGCCGCCGTCTGACTCTGTCCTTCGCCAGGTTCTTAGTCTTCCGTCTTCTACTGGTCTTCCGTTACTGCCTGGCTCGCCCTTGCCTGCTCCTTCTCCTTACACTGAGCAGTCAGGGGGTCTTACTGAGCGTCGTGAGCCTGCGTCGCGTCCTGTCTCGCCTGTTCGTTCTGGTCGTTCCGCTCGCCGCGTCTCGCACCAGCGTTCGCCGCCTGTTGCTGGTTCTCGCCTTGTCGTCCGTCGTCCCTCCTCTGTACCACAGTCGGTTCCTCTGCCGTCTCCTCCTGCGTCTTCTTTGCCTGACGTTCCGGACCCTGCGTCTGACCGTTTTCGTGCTGAGCACCCTACCGTCACGCGTCTGTTAGCCACTGCTGTCACTGACCCGTCTTTTGAGTCCGCTGCTGTGTCTGCCCTGGTCGCTGAGCTTGTTGACTTTGCTGCTGTCTGTCGTCTAGACTACACTGCCAGTCTTGTTGCTGAGTCTGAGTCTGTCTGTCCTCCGTCCGTCGGGGGTGAGTGTGCTCTTGGCACGGACGTCCTTGAGGACAGGCAGGAGGACTTTGACTCTCTTGCGACTGCTGTACCTCATCTCGTGGCCTGGCTGCTTGCCCCTGAGGGAGACCCGGATGCACTAGACATCCCCACTCCGCGCTCTTACGCAGAGGCGATCTCGGGTCCCTACTCCTCTCAGTGGCAGACAGCCATGGACGCAGAGATGGCATCCTGGAAGTCCACAGGCACCTACGTCGACGAGGTTCCCCCTCCAGGGGCGAACATCGTCGATGGCATGTGGATTTTCAGGGTGAAGCGGCCGCCGGGTTCTCCGCCTGTCTTCAAGGCTCGTTACGTTGCTAGAGGTTTCAGTCAGCGACAGGGAGTTGACTACTTTCAGACCTTCTCCCCCACCCCGAAGATGACCATTCTTCGGGTGCTGCTGCACATTGCTGCTCAGCGTGACTACGAGCTGCACTCTCTTGACTTCAGCACAGCTTTCTTGCAGGGCAGCCTCCACGAGGAGATCTGGCTGCGCCGCCCTCCTGGCTTCACTGGGTCGTTCCCTCCTGGTACCCAGTGGAGCCTTCGGCGGCCAGTCTACGGTCTCCGCCAGGCGCCGCGCGAGTGGCACGACACACTGAGGACTACACTTGCGGCCCTTGGGTTTGCTCCTTCCACTGCTGACCCGTCACTGTTCCTGCGCACAGACACGTCGCTGCCGCCGTTTTACATCCTCGTGTACGTCGACGACTTGGTCTTTGCTACTGCTGACACTGAGGCACTCGCTCGTGTGAAGTCGGAGCTGCAGAAGAGACACACCTGCACTGACCTGGGTGAGCTGCGCAGCTACCTTGGCTTGCAGATCACCCGGGACAGAGCACGCCGCACCATTACCCTGACTCAGTCACACATGGTGCAGCAGGTCCTTTAGCGCTTCGGCTTCCAGTTCTCCTCACCTCAGGCCACACCTCTGGCTACCAGTCACTCGCTCTCAGCTCCACCTTCGGACGAGTCCGTAGAGCCGAGTGGCCCGTACCCAGAGCTTGTAGGCTGCCTCATGTACTTGATGACTTGCACGCGACCTGACCTCGCGTACCCTCTTAGCATCCTTACTCGTTACGTTGCGCCTGGGAGACACAGGCGAGAGCACTGGGAGGCTGCTAAGAGGGTGCTGCGCTACTTGTGCAATACATCAGGCATGGGGCTGGTGCTTGGAGGACGCGACAGAGTTGCCCTCACTGGTCACTCAGACGCTTCTTGGGTGGACGACCTGGCTACGCAGCGGTCGTCACAGGGTTACACTTTCAGCCTTGGCTCTGGTTCTGTCTCTTGGCGGTCCACCCGCTCTTCTTCTGTTCTCAGCTCTAGTTGTGAGGCTGAGATCTACGCCACGGCCATGGCTGCACAGGAGTTACGCTGGCTCACCTACCTGCTGACTGACTTGGGAGAGCGGCCTAGTTCTCCTCCAGTTCTGTACGGAGACAACAAGGCGGCCCTTGCCTTGTGTCAGGAGCACAGACTGGAGCACAGAACGAAGCACATTGCTCTTCGCTATTTTCTTGCTCGAGAGCTGCAGCAGCGTGGTCAGCTTCGTCTTGTGTACGTGGACTCGAAGGCCAACACTGCTGATGTCTTCACCAAGGCGCTTCCGCCTAGTGATCATCAGCGGCACTGTACTGCGTTAGGCCTTTGTCAAACTTATACACTATAGTCTGTGTAGGCTGTAGTGGGGTAGCTCATATGGGGTACAACATTCTAGGGTTTGGTACTTGTACTCCTCATGCTGCTCAATGCACTCATTCTCGTTCCAATTGTCACATGGTATAGAGCAGGTTCCCTCGTGGGAACTGTTCCTAGGGCCCACCGTACGAATTTTTTTCCTGCCCGGAGCGCGCTCCGCCCCTGCCCGAGTCGCGCTCCCCTCCCCTCGCTTCCCTTAGCGGCCCCGTCGCGCCGCGCTTCCGGCCCCGGCGCCGCCTCTGCTGGCCCCGGCGTCCCACCGTCGCGACCCCGCGGCCCCACCCTCGCGTCGCCCTGCGCGACGTCGTTGCGGCCGCCCGCGACCCCGACGCCGCCCGTCGCGACCCCGTCGCCCTTCGCGCCGCCCGCGACCTCGTCGCCACGGCCGCCCACGTCCCTACCGCTACAGCCGCCCGCGACCCTGGCGTCGCAGCCGCCCGCGACCCTGTCGCCGCAACCGCCCGCGACCCTGCCGTCGCCGCCGCCCGCGACCCTGCTGTCGCAGCCGCCCGCGACCCTACCGTCGCCGCCGCCCGCGGCCCTGCAGTCGCAGCCGCCTGCGACCTCGTCGCCGCGGCCGCCTGCCCCCCCGTCGCCGCAGCTGCGCGCGACTCCTGTAGTCGCAGCCGCCCGCGACCCCCGTCGCCCCACCCGTGCGACCCCACCGCCGCCCTTTGCGGCCCCTTCGCCATACCTTTGCGGCCCCGCCGAGCAGCCGAGCCGCCGAGACGCCGCCGCCGCCGAGCCGCCGTTGCTGCCGAGTAGCCGAGCCGCCGAGCCGCCACTGCCGCCGTGCTGCCGAGCCGCCGAGACGCCGCTGCCGCCGTGCTGCCGAGCCGCTGAGCCGAAGAGCCGCCGTTCCTGCTGTCACGGCCCTGTTCCTGCCGGCGCGCCTCGGTCCTTCTCGCCTGCCCGGTAAGAGCAGCGCATCCATCACTGCTCTGCCCTAGCCTGCTGCTCTCACTGCTCGTCTACTGCTGTCATGGCTTCCCCCAGTGTCCTCACCTTTGACGCTGAGGGTCGGGCCATTGACTTTGACGTCTGGGTAGATGACCTGCAGCTTTTCCTACTGAGCGACAGAGCAGACGGCCTCTCCCTTTTTGACCTCACCTCTGGTGCCTCTCCTGCCCCTGCTGCTGATGCTGACCCCACTGTTCGCTCCCAGTGGGCCACACGCGATGCTGCTGCCCGCCTTGCTGTGCGCCGCCACTTGCCGACCGCTGAGCGTGCGCACTTTAGCCAGTACAAGAGTGCTAAGACCTTGTACGACGCTGTAGTTGCACGCTACTCTTCCCCTGCCACTG